CTAGATTCTCGGTAAACATCAACAAAGCTGACAAACCTTTAGCTACATTGGCCAAGAGAAAAGAGAGAGACTCCAGATTCATAAAGAGAGGAATGAAATAATGAACATTACTATTGATTATAAAGAAAACAAAAAGATTATAATACTATTAAACAATTGTAGAGCAACAGTTAGAAACATAGATGCAAAGGAAATATTCCCATCAAGACACAGCTGTAAACATTGGCTCAGGAAAAACAAAATAGAAAAATTGAATAGATCTACAACAAATATACAGCTTGATTAGCAATTTAAAAAAAACACACACACACAACTTCCCATAAGGAAAAGTCAAGGCCACAAGGCTTCACCATTCTACCAAATGTTCTTTCCCAAATTTTCCCAGAAAATAAGATACTTCCATAATCATTTTTTTCTCTCTTTTTTACAATCCCCACTCCAATTCCCCATTTATTCTATTAGACCAGCATTATTTTGACATCAAATCCTGACCAAAAACAACAACAACAAAAACAACAAAAAACAACAAAAGAAAACAACAAAACAATATCCCTGTGGCTATAGATGTAAAGATTTTCAACAAAACACTAGCACACTGAATCCAGCATATTACAAAAATGACGGTAAACCTGATAAAGTGGGATTTTTCCCATTAATGCAAAGTTAGTTCAATATATGAAATTAGGGTTAATCACTATATTAATAAAACAAAGGATAAAAACCACATTATCATCAAAATGCCAAAAGAAAAAAGCATCTGACAAAATCCAACACACTATTGTAATAAAAACACTCAAAGCTAGGAATAGAAAGCAACTTCCTCACACTGATAACTTTATATATGAAAAACCCTCAGTATACTTAATGGTGAGAGCCTGAAAGCTTTCCCATGATAAGGAACAAGACAAAGATGTCGACTTGTACTACTTCTATTCAACATTGTATTGGAAATAAAAGGAAATAAAAGTCATCCACATTGGAAATGAAGAAGTAAAACTATTCACAAGTGACATGATCTGGTATACATAAAAGTGTAAGGAATCCACACATGTACAAAACAAAATGCTACAGCTATAAAACAATTCATCAAGATTCAGCATATAAGACTGATATGCAAATTGTATTTCCACATACTAGATATAAACATGCTTAAAATAAAAGAAAATCCAAAAGAAGTGAGCAAAAGAATTGCAAGACATGCCTATGGAAATGCCAAACATCGCTGAAAGAAAACAAAGGCCCAAATAAATGGTAACACATTACATGTCATGGATTCAGAGATTTAATATTGCTAACATGGCAATAATCTCTTAATTGACCTACAGATTCCTCACAATCCCTATAAAATCCCAGCTGGCACTTTGCATAAATTGACAAGCTTATTCTAAAATTGAGATGGAAATGCAAGGAACCCACAATAGCCCAAACAATCTTGAGAAAGAAAAAGTTTCAAGACTTATACTTTCTTTCTAAATCTAAAACCAACTACAAAGCTATGTGTGATACTGGAATAAGGATAGATATATAAATTGATGGAGTATAATTGAGAGTCCATAATTAAATTCATACATGTAGAGTCAATTAGGGTGGAGTTTCTATTTTAGAAGAGGAAAATACTTTGAAATTAGTAATAACAGTTGTACAACTTTGTGGATATTTTTAAGTGTACTAAATTGTTCACTTCAAAAAAAAATTATGGTATGTAAATTATATTGGTTTTCATTTTATAAAAGAAAAGTTGCATATAAAGAAGCCAACTTTAACCCCACAATGACAAAAACAAAACAACTCTTTTGTTGTTGTTGTTGGGGATCTCAAAGACCACCGCAGTTTCAATGATTCACTAGAAGGATTCAAAAGTCTCAGGATGCAGTCTCATTCATAGCTGTGACCTACAAAGCAAAAGCAATAAAGGGAAAAGTTGTATGGGCCAAAGTCAGAATGAAACCAGGTGCAAGTCAAGAATCTCCCCCACTGGAGTCAAACAGTACACATTTAATTCCTTCAACTTTAAACTGTGACAACCTATGTGAACTGTTTTCTAACCAGTTAGGCAATGGTGAGAACATTGCAAAAATCCAACTGCCAAGATGGCAGTCAAGAGCCAACCATGCAGATAGACCTTTTTCAGGCCTGGTATGTTAACACCTTTCTGCACACTGGTCCTTTACAAAATCATAAAAATTGGTTGTATTAGTCTGTTCTCATGCTGCTAATAAAGACATACCCAAGACTGGGTAATTTATAAAGGAAAGAGACAATTGACTCATGGTTCCACATGGCTGGGCAGGCCTCAAAATCATGGTGGAAGGTGAATGAAGAGCAAAGTCTCATCTTACATGGCATCAGGCAAGAGAGAATTTGCAGGGGAACTTCCCTTTATAAAACCATCAGGTCTCATGAGATTTATTCACTGTCATGTGAACAGCACATGAAAGACCCACCCCCATGATTCAACTACCTCACACCGAGTCCCTTCTACAACACATGGGAATTATGGGACTTACAGTTCAAGATGAGGTTTGGGTGTGGACACAGCCAAACCATATCATTGGTTAAGCTAAACCGATCAAGAATAAAGGAGAGAAGACCAAGAATGAATGACAGAGTGGACATCACAACAGCTCCTACAGACATTAAAATAATAATAAAGACCTTTATAAACAACTATATGCTAAAAATTTAACAACTTAGATGAAATAAATCCTAGAAAGATACAATTACTAAAATGACTCAAAGAAGAACTTTTAAAATCTGAATTTCTGGATATCTATACATGTAGCTGAATTAGTAATTTTTAAAACTTGCCAAAAGGAAAGGTACAGGCTCAGATAGTTTACTGATGAATTACACCAAACACTTAAAGAAGAAGTAACACCAATATATATCAGTTTGGGTTAAATTAAAATATAGACAAAACAAGTAATTTATACGGGGTAAGTTTAATATAGATAATTATTAACTATAGCAGGGGATTGAATAACAAGGTATTATTTAGTAAAATGTAAGGAGAACTATAAAGAATATAGGAAAAGCAGCTATAAAGAACAGCTGCTTCCCTCAGGACTGAAGTATAGTGCCCAGGGAATCCCTCACTGTTTCCCCAACTCAAACTGAGATCCAGATCTTGTTGATGACAGCACAGCCCAGGTGTGGTGACTGCCTGCACTTACCTGCCACCCTTAATGGTATTGGTGCCCACCTTGCTTAAGACAATAATTGCTGCCACTTGACCCCCATGACTCCATTGAATTTCAGAACTTATTTTAATGGCAGCATTCCATACAATCCTATCGAGCTTAAAAAGAAAGCAGGCACAGGGCTTTTTATTATGCCAGTTCTTCTCTAATTGATGTATCCCTCAATACTGTAGTGACAAGAGTGTCTTCTAGGCCCTTTTGTGGAACATTACTGGGTAAGTTGGGGAGGAGATGGTGCAAGTCACACATGATAAATCTAGTCGACTTCCTCACCTCCGTAAGTACTTGAATTCCTTCCTACACATCATGCTGGGGCATTTTGAGATCTCAACCTCATTAACTTAAAGCTACTGTTAAGTCCAAGTTTCAATCAACCAATCATGTAAACTGTTAGAGCCATCTCCAGGTGCATGTGCTCACACATTAAAACTGTTATCTCTAGCAGGTAAGACTGTATCAATGAATTCAGAAGAATCCAATGTTTTGTTTTGCCCCTCTGGATCTAATAACTCACAGAATCCATTCTCACACACTTCTCCAGGGTTCTGCCAATACATTAGTAAAGCCTTAATATTATTTCTGTGTGTAAGTTCTTTGTCCCTGGGTCTCAGTATGTACCTCTTGCCCTGGAGCATACTGAGAATTTACTCTAAGTATGGATCTAGTGGCAATAGGAGTGGCTGTAGTATATCTTAAGAAGAATAAGCATTTCTTTTCAAGACCTCCAGCTGAGCTTCTCACAGATGTAAACTGAAAGACTAGCCTCCTCAGCTACCGGGGGCAAGCTCTTCTACCAACAAAGGAGGCTCAGAATAACTTGGGGAATCAAAAATGCCAGTTTCATCTGCTCCTTGTCAGATGTCCTCGTTCCAAGTTTCAGGACCTATTTTTTTTTTTTTTTTTTTAACAAATCAACACCCTATCTTTCGCGTGGGTAATTTGGTGAGACTGTGAATTCAACTGTCATTATAACTCATCAACCCATATTGTGTGTAATTTCCAGAAATATCACCTCTGTGATATTAAAAAAAAAAGTGCCAATTTATTTTAGGGCTTCGATGGGAGCCCTCAAGCTCTCAGGCCATGACCTGAGCTGACAGTTAACAGAATTTGTTATTTGCTTTGTGTGAGTACGAAGGGCACTCGAAATTATTCATCAACAGTGGAGTCCTTATAGTTATCATCACTACCATAAGGTCAAGTTCTGCAGCCACCTGGGCTCCCAGCATACATGCTTCAATTGGCACTGCATCCCAGTCAAGAACAGGTGACAGCTTTATTAAATATGGTACCACTACTTGCCAAGAATTACTATGATCCATCTTCTGTTGGCAAAAGGATCAGCACTTCACTCAAGACTACAGGTGTGATAAAAACCAATCCCAAAACTCCATCTTTATGGATATATTTACTGGGATCACTACTACCAATTCCATACCAGTCTAATACCAATTTCCCACTTCCTGAGCCCCTACCCGCCAAATTATCTTTACAAACTCTGATTCCATCCCAGAATGCTGGAGAGACTGATTTGAGTAATATGAAAACTCCGGGCTCCCACACAGCCGGCTCTGCCTGCCTCACTCTTTCTCCATTGCAATTCCCTTGTCTTGACAAATCTGCTGCCCAGGCAGCGGGCGAGGTAAACCCATTGGGCGGCTAAACTTTGATCGGACAGAGCCTTGAGAAGTCAGACAGCAGCCTGAGGCTGGGCCAGCCCAGGGCATCCTCGCCATCCCCCCTCTCCCACCTCCTCGAGGGGCGGCCCTCGCCACAACAAAGCACGTCCTTCAGGCTCACCTTGACAGATGACCAGGATGCAGTGGAAAACCATGAAGCAGCGAATGTTATTACAACACTCACAGCAGGGGCTGGCTACGCAGCCCACACCACAGGGCTGCTCCAAACTGTTGTCCACTTCTCCGGAATCGGAGGGCTGGACTTTTTTCCTTTTTCGGAAACCGCCGAATCTTATCAAGGCCCTTGGAAATAGCTTCAGATAGGGGCGTGTTTTCGGGAACTTCAGGGACTTCGAGGACTTCTTCGAGGCCTTCGAGGACTTCGAGGACTTCGAGGATTCCCTGGCCCTCGAGTGCTTAGGAGGCCGGGCCCGCGCAACCCACGACTCCACTTTCCCCGGGTCCGCATCCCGGCCCTCAGAGCGCCGGGGGGCGCCTTCGTACATGGCTCACCCTGCGCGACTCCGGCGACAGCGCAAGTGCCCTGAGCAGCCCGCCCAGCCTCGGCCAGCCCAAAGGCCGGCGGCGTGGGCGTCGGAGCACTCAGCGGCCACAAGGGGCGCCTGCAGCCCAAGCCTCCAGAGGGAACGTTTCTCTTAGGGCAGGAGGCAAACGTCCTCGCAGGAGGTCGACAGTTGAGAACTTCCAAGGTTGTTTGCCTTCTTTTCTTCCACGTGCTGGGGGAAGGGGGGTGGAAAAAAGCTAAAACCAGATTTTTTAACTGCTAACACAGACAAGAAGCACCAGAGTAATTTTAATGGAAGTCGAAGAATGCTAGCATTTATTTATTAAATAATACTCATTAGGAAGAATGGGGGGAAAAAAAAACGGAACTGTCTATTCCCCATTTCCTCCAGACTTCCTTTTTTTGTGGTGGCTTTCCAACTGGGCGATCTCACTAGAAACAACCTGAAAATTGTTGAGAGCAGAAGACCACAGTGAAAGATTTGGAGGCACAAAGATCAGAAATCAATGTCCCAATGAGTGTCCTTAAGTGAAGTGTTTTACACCTATAAATTATTGTTCTAGAAACTCCATCCCAGCTCAAGAACAGATTATTATTTTCCACCTTAATGGGGGCATGAGAACCAGAGGATTATTTTTTCAGGTTTAAAAATTTTATTGGAGAGAATGAATGTAAGCATGGTAGGATATGAAGCATAGTTTTTTTTTGTTTGTTTGTTTGTTTTTTGGTTTTTTTTTTGTTTTTTTTTTTTTTTTGTTTTTTTTTTTTTTTTTTTTTTTTTTTTTTTTTTTTTTTTAATGAAAATGCAACTTCTTATTGGTTTTCTTTTCTTAGGCTGATATATAACCTCTTTAGGCCAAGTATACGTGGAGGGTGACTTTCCAGGAGAGACAGCACTAGACAATTTAGCTCTTCAACAAGATTTTATGTTGCTCCCTCTAATAGTCCTGGCCTGGGAAGAAAGAACTAAGAATCACTGACCTGAAGCCTGAGCTTGATTCTGCGTTGCTTCATGATAAGTGAAAAAAAAAAAAAAAAAAAGGAATCCTAGGAGGTAGGAAAGACAGTGGGAAGTCATAGGGCTTATTGTTGTGCTTCAATACCAGAACAGGTACTGCTTGGGTACAGAGAGGAATAGGTAACAATTCTTATTACTGTGCTTCAATACCAGAATCCGTATGGCTTGGGTGCATACAGGGAAAGACAACTCCATTAATAATGAAGAGTATTGGGAATTTTGCTTCTACCCAGAACATAGAAAGCCAAATAAAATGTAGTCTATTGTTGGAGTGGGGACTCCAACAATAACAACAACAAAGCTGGATAATATGAAAAAATACTTCTTTTTCATCAGAGAACTGCATTTCTATAGCTATGGTTGCTATAAAGCAACTAGGCAAATTGATTCTAAAGAGCAACAAGCCCCTCAGAAAAAGGATGGGATACACTAATCATTTTACTTTTCAAAGGGCACAGAAGGAAAAAAGAGCAGTCATAAAAGAAGATAGAAACACCTGAAATTTTAATGAATTCTTAAAAGCCAAGGGAAGACTAGCTTAACAGTTTAGAAGCCCTAGAAGCCTAAGAAGTAAGGGGAGTCTACACCCATTTACCAAATTTTTCCTTAACAGAAAAAAAGCATTTGGTAGTGGTAGACTGTCACTGAGAAAGAAGAAGGAATGCTTACCCTTCTGCCTCCACTGACCCTTCTGCTATACAAAACAAAAGCAGTTTGCCTCTGGGATTGAGGCAGGAAACTCTCTTGCCCTCCAGTCTGTGACAAAGGTTATCTGTTACAGAAGAAAAAATCCTTGAAGGAGCAGCAAACCGTCCTGTCCCATGGCCTACCTTAAGATGACTGACTGCCACCAGAGGGAGGGATAGAAATAAAAATAATCTGCCAAAAAGAGAGGAGTAAGAACTTTATTTCTTCTCAAGAACCCCATTAAAACAAGGCAAAGCCCAAACCTTCAGGTTCAGGCATTCAGGGCCTATCCAAAATTGAGGCTGGACCAGGGTCAACCTAGCCTCTGCCTCGATGAGGAGTTTTGCATGAGTGAGAAAACAATAGCACTTCACCATTATAGGTGAGTCGAGAGAGCAGAGGGAAATGCTACCAGTGGAGAAAGCGTACAGGACATGCTGAAAGCTGAACGTGGAGTGGAAGCACTGACAAACAAGCCTTCAACATTCTTTAATTAGGATATTTTTATTATATAATATATGACACTGTCATCCAGCTACAAAAATTGTAGTTGAAGTATTTAAGTCGAAATTGTGGATATTTGTTTGCCTTGCTCATTTAACCGTAATAACCATCACACTTAATTTCATGTTGGCTACCTTTATGATAGTACCATGTATGATAGAATTTCATGGTATGGATTTACTATAATTTATTTGACCTCTTTCTTTTATTTTGATGGCTATTGGATTGGCACAGTGGCTCACACCTGTAATCCCAGCACTTTGGGAGGCCAAGGTGGGCAGATCACGAGGTGAGGAGTTTGAGACCAGCCTAGCCAACATGGTGAAATCCTATCTCTACTAAAAATACAAAAATTAGCCAGACGTGGTGGCACAAGCCTGTCATCCCAGCTACTCAGGAGACTGAGACAGGAAAATTGCTTGAACCCAGGAGGTGGAGGTTGCGGTGAGCCAAGATCACGCTATTATACTCCAGCCCGGGCAACAGAGTGAAACTCCCTCTCAAAAAACAAACAAACAAACAAAAAACTTCTAAAGCTTCATCAGGTAGATTCAGAGACAACAAATTACCCTGATGGGGAGAGAGCTAGAATTAAAAGTAGAATAATATTTAGATGCCCAGAAATGGCTACCTACCTGACACTTTTATAGAAACAGAGGGCATTCAGAAGAAACTGGGAGACCTGGGATCTTACAATTAAGAAATATGTGAACATTGAAATAAACATGATATGGTCTGGCTGTGTCCCTACCCAAATCTCATCCTGAATTCCCATGTGCCATGGGAGGGATCGGGTGGGAGACAATTCAATCATAGGGGCAGTTCCCCTGGTACTAGTTTCATGGTAGTGAATAAGTCTCATGAGATCTAATGGTTTTATAAGAGGTTTTTGCTTTCACTTCTCTCTCTTACTTCTCTCTTTTACTTGTTGCCACCATGTAAGAAGTGCCTTTTGCTTTCCACCATGATTGTGGGACGTCCGTAGCCACATGGAACTATAAGTCCATTCAACCTCTTTTGTAAATTACCCAGTCTCAAGTATGTCTTTATCAGCAGTGTAAAAACAGGATAATGCAGTAAATTAGTACCAGTAGAGTGGGGTACTGCTGAAAAGATACCCAAAAATGTGGAAGCAACTTTGGAACAGGGTAACAGGCAGAGGTTGGAACAATTTGGAGGGTTCAGAAGAAGACAGAAAAACGTCGGAAACTTTGAAACTCCCTAGAGACTTGTTGAATGGCTTTGACCACAATGCTGATAATGATATGGACAATGAAATCCAGGCTAAGGTGCTCTCAGCTGGAGATGAGGAAATTATTGGCAACTGGAGCAAAGGTGATGCTTCTTATGTTTTAGCAAAGAGACTGGTGACATTTTGCCCCTGTGCTAGAGATTTGAACTTGAAAGAGGTGATTTAGGATATCTGGCAGAAATTTCTAAGCAGCAAACCATTCAAGATGTGACTTGAATGCTATTAAAGGCATTCAGTTTTAAAAGGGAAACAGCGTAAAAGTTTGGAAAATTTGCAGCTTGACAATGTGATAGGAAAGAAAATCCCATTTTCTGAGGAGAAATTCAAGCCAGCTGCAGAAATTGGCAAAAGTAGTGAGAAGTCAAATGTTAATCACCAAGACAATGTGGAAAATATCTCCAGGGCCTGTCAGAGACCTTTGTGGCAGCCCCTTCCATCACAGGTCCAAAGGTTTAGAAGGAAGAAATGGTTTTGTGAGCTGGGCCTAGGGTCCCCATGCTGTCAGTAGTCTAGGGACTTGGTGCCCTGTGTCCCAGCTGCTCCAGCCATGATTAAAAGTGGCCAAGATACAGCTCAGGCTGCTGCTTCAGAGGGTGGGAGCCCCAACCTTAGAAGCTTCCATGTAATGTTAAGCCTATGGATGCACAAAAGTCAATAATCAAGGTTTGGGAACCTCTGCTTAGATTTCAGAGGATGTATGGAAAGGCCTGGATGCCCAGACAGAAGTTTGCTGTAGGGGGAGGGCCCTCATGGAGAACCTTTGCTAGGGCAGCACAGAAGGAAAATGTGGGGTTGGAGCTCCCACACAGAGTCCTTACTGGGGCACTGCCTATCAGACCCATAAGAAGAGGGCTACCAACTTCCAGACCCCAGAATGGTAGATCTACCAAGAGCGTGCACCATGTGCCTGGAAAAGCCACAGCCACTCAATGCCAGCCCATGAAAGTAGCCAGGAGGGGGGCTATACTCTACAAAGCCATAGGAGTAGAGTTGCCCCAAAGCTGTGGGAGCCCACCTCTTATATCAGCATGACCTGGATGTGAGACATGTAGTCAACAGAGATCATTTTGGAGCTTTAAGATTTGACTGCCCCACTAGATTTCAGACTTGCATGGGGCCTGTAGCCCCTTTGTTTTGGCCAATTTCTCCCATTTGGGTTGACTGTATTTACCCAATGCCTGTACCCTCATTGTATCTAGGAAGTAACTAACTTGCTTTTGATTTTACAGACGCATAGGTGAAAGGGACTTGCCTTGTTGCAGATGAGACTTTGAACTGTGGGCTTTTGAGTTAATGCTGAAATGAGCTAAGACGTTGGGATACTGTTGGGAAGGCATGATTGGTTTTGAAACATGAGGACATGAAATTTGGGAGGAACCAAGGGTGGAATGATATGATTTGGCTATGTCCCCACCCAAATCTCATCTTGAATTCCCATGTGCTGTGGGAGGGAGCCAGTGGAAGATAATTGAATCATGAGGGTGGTTTTCCCCATATTGTTCTTTTGGTAGTGAGTAAG